AATATATATATATATATATATATATATATATATATATATATATATATATATATATTTAACAGATCAATTCTAGCATGCAGATCCACAGATGGTAAGGGGGTAGACACGGCCTATGTCTCTATAGAAAGGAGCTTTGTTTGTGATGGGACATGTCTTTCACAGAGATGCTAGTGGAATGCTCCATCATCTTTTCCTAATATGGGTTTTCTCCAGCAATGGATCCCAGCAGACTGCTGAAGATGTTCTCCTTCGTCATAGATAATAATAAAAGACTCAGTAATGGGGTCCTCCCACTCATAGCCTTTCATAGTAACTTGGTTAATTTGATTCCAGTACTAATTATTTGCTCTGAATATGATTATCAATAGCCATCAAACTCCTATTTGCCTTGTCTAATTTCTTCAATACTGCCCGTCTATCAACTACTCATGATCAAAACTAAGATTGATTCATTTGGCTTTTTGAAGAGAAGTAAAGATGATTTTTCTCAGTTTGATCTAGAGTTGTAGACTGGTTTTCATATTGTTTTCATATTAAATATTGTTTTAAATATTTAATTTAAGCATTTGAATATGCATATTATTTAATTTATGAAATTTAATAACATTGGTGATAAATATAGAAAATTGTATATTATTACAGTAATAAAGAGTAAGGAAAATAGTTATATTGAGGCAGATTTTCTAATTGTTACCTTCTTATCATTACATATATAAAGCATAATAAAGTATAAGCATAATTGTCTGGAGAATTATACTGAATTTGCTAAGTTTAAGGCAACAGATTATTAAAACTTTTATTGCAAAATTTTTGAATTTCTATTTATTCCAAGTTATTTCAGGGATTTTAAAGCCTTTGAAATTGATATTTCTAATAATCAAAATAAAATCTTTTTTTAAACTTGGCTATAGTTCAGGTAATAATAATAATAATGGATTCTGTCATCACTTTTATTATACTGAAATTCAAAATCTACTTAGGGATCCAATCTACATGTCCTTCTCCAGCTATTTATTTTTTAGTTAGATTTTAATCCCACTTTTCCTTCAGGAGTTCAAGGCAGCATATATCATTTTCCCCCCTGCAGCAACAACCATATGAGGTTGATTGGGTGAAAGATAATTCTAGTGAGCTGTTCTGGTTGAAGGTGGATTTGAACTCATGTTCCCAGTCTAATATCTTAATCACTAGACTACATTGGATCTCTGAAAAATTAGCCTGGTCAGTGTGTTGGAACTTGTAATTGATCAACATCTGAAGAAACATAGTTTGCCATCCTTATGATATAGTAGTATCATTGATGCACCAATTCCAATTTCAAATAAGGCTTTTAATGTAATTTTATTTTGCATGTCTTCTCAGCGGCATGGAATTCATTGTATCGTATAAAGCTGATCTGTTTATAAAATTATTTTTAAGAAGTATGTTTAATATAGTAGTTCTCTTTCACAGATTTTACTAATATTTTATTAGGCTTTAGTTAATGAAAGCCAGGATGTTATTGGTCCCATTCAGTTGCTGCTGGAAAGAGAAAGCTGCTTTATAAGGGTAAGAAATAAACATTGCTTGCAATGCAACTTTCTGACTATTGAGAAAGACATAAAAATGCCTGGACCAGGAGTCCATATCCGTGACCACCATGTCAGAAGAGAAGACCTTGTTTTTTTTATTTTTGGAAATCTTGTTATGAAATTGCAATTTTCTATAAAAATAAGGAATAAAAACATCAGTGTTAAGTTTTCTCCCTCGCCCCAATATCGGTACTTTCTTGACAAAAATCACACAAATGAAAAAGTTTGTAAAAGATTTTGTTCCTGGTCATTTAAAAAAAAAGTTTGTTACAAGCTTAAATTGTCTATACTGAAGTGTCTTTTACAGCTGATCCTTTACTTTTCAGCTATAAGTCTAATAGCTTTTCCAAGGAAAAGTGGCCTGTAGTTGGTCATTATGGCTTGCAGTGCTGATAGCTGTGGGGCAGGGGTGTTAAATTGGCGGCCCATGGACCAGATACATCATGCGCAGGCCATGCCCACCCCAGCTCCATGAAGGGGGAAAACATCGGGAAACATCACGTGATGGCAACCTGACACTGCAAGTTTGACACCTGGGCTGTAGGGCATGACATCTGGAGGACTTTAAAGAGGGGAAGGATGATGTAGAGTTTATAACTTATAGGTTTTTATTTAGTTAATTGAAGCCTGTGAGCTTGTTTTGAAAGGAAAAAAAGGGGGAAATGGATAGATAAAAATTGGATTAAAAAAAAGATGGCTATTGGAGTTATCCACATCTCCCTCCTTGCCCCAGTTCCTTGCTCTTTACTATTAGTCAAGGATATTTTTCTCCCAACAGAATCTTTTTCTCAATTCCTTCCTACTTCTGAGTCAGGGTAAAGGTGGATCAATGTAATGCAGTGGTAAAGTGGGGTTTTCCATTGGAAAAAAATACAATGCAAATATCCTGATTCTTATGGAGGAGGAGCCAGGAGGAGGTCAGTGATCTTCAAGGTTTATGCAGGACTGCCCTCTCCCAGCTAGGCATGGGGCTCGGCATTTCTCTGGTTGGTATATTCATATTAGAACAAACAAAATTTACCTGAAAACCAAAGGGAATGTTTTGTCCAGGAAATACCAATTTCATAGAAGAAGTTGCATTAGGTTGACATCCCTATTTGTGTCCAAAAGAAGTTAACCTCATTGTTCGTCCTAATTCTGGACCCCACATTTGTATCCTGTTATCAATGTGCAACAGTACTGTGCTCACTTCTCCAAACAGCTTCTCTAATTTATGAAGGCAAACACATCACTAGTGGTTAGGGGAAAAGCCCAATTTCGTGTTTGAGATCGATCATAAAATTGATATATTCTTTCATCTAGGAAAGCCATCTATCTGCACTGTCCTCTGTATTATTTATTTATTTGCATCCTGCCTTTATTTTCCCCCCCAAATAACTCAAGGCAGTGAACATATCTGATATCTTTCCTCTACCTGTTTTCTACACAACAACAGCCCTATGAGTTGAATTAGTAAGAGAGTGACTGGCCCAAGGTCACGTAGTTGGCTTTCATATCTGCTTTCTCCTACTTTCTTGTCTGGTGTCTTAACACTAGATTACATTTTTATGTTTTTATTTATTATTTTTAATAATTCCCTTTGGGATAGATTAGTCTTAGCTTTTCCAAATTTGCCTTGACATAGCTAATAGTGGTCATGTGAGGCTTTAGTATTAGAGATCATGACAGCTAGTTTGGTGTAGTGATTAAAAGTTCCAAACTAGAAACCAAGAGACTGTGAGTTCTAGTCCTGCCTTAGGCCCAAAACTAGCTGGGTGACCTTGGGCCAGTCACTTTTTCTCAGCCGTGGGAAGGAAGCAAAGTCAAATCACTTCTGAAACATCTTGCCAAGATACCTGCAGGGACCTATCCAGGCAGTCTTCAAAAATTGGACATGATTGAACAAAGTAAAAAAGATACTACATATTTCAAGTTTGATTTCATATTCAAACTATTGAAAAATATGAAATGAGTTGTGGCTTTAGAGCTGTAGCCAGGAAATAATGAATATTTTTGAGAAATATTAAACATAGGAGTGGGAAATCTGTAGCTCTGCAGGTACTGCTGAAATACAACTACCAGGAACAACAGCTTATATGCCAACAATACCTGTAGCTACAGATTACCTATCTCAAATAGCCCCAAGAATAATATCATATTTATTAGATTTTTTTTTCAATTATGACAAAGGGCAACCTTATCTAAAGAAAAAAAAAGATTAGAAAAGTTAGATTCTCACAGGTATATCAACAGCCATTATAATAGATATTTGATTGATAACCTGTATGCTTTATATCCCTTAAATAGTTTAATATTCAAGTCTTTCCTGCAAGATAAAATATAACACAATTTTAGTTAAGAAGACACAGGTCTGTATCTGGCTGCTATATATATTAAAAAAGTCCAACAGATAAATTATATATCTGTACCAAGTAAGATGTTTACTATGTATTCGAATATCACATAATTGGTTTCCTGTAGCAATCACATGAAATTGCAATGGCTTGTAGCGATACATATTTTATATATGCAAGGGTTGTCATTGGAGGAATGTTATAATGTATAAAATGTTTATTAATTACTAGCCTTTTTCAATTTCTATGAATTAATTATACTGTCAGATTTGTTTTAAAAGTTCATTATTTAATTCAAAAACTACCTTTGTTGATAATAGTTTCTCTGTTAATTAGGAAGTAGACAGGTATTTGAAGCACAATGATTTCTTAGCTCTAAGGAGAAAGGAAGTGCTGTACAAGAAATGGTTTGAAAGTGTTTCAAGACCCCTGCTGCAGAAAATTCAGGACAAAGTTGACAACCAGTCAAGCAAAGAAATAGAAGAAAGGAAGCGAAAACAGCTCTCCCTTTATCTAAACTATTGTAATGAGAAGGTATCGGAAAAGAAAAGCTGTTATTACTACAAAACATTTTAAAACAATTAGAATGAATTTTCTTTTTTAAAATTTCAGAAGATAGAGCAGTGATAGCAAACCTTTTTGGCTTGCTTTGGTGTCAGAATTGGGAAACTACCTAACTTAACTCTTCTGGTGTATCAATCATAAATAAACAATTCTCTATTCCACAGACCCCTCCCCCTCATCTAGTCCACACTCAACAGTGGCACTCGGCATTGATTCTGGGAAGCAGAAGCTTGTGCCTCACATTCAGCCCTAATGAGAATCCAGATTGTTGGAGGCAATATGCTGACTCTGTAAACTGCTTAGAAAGGGCTATAAAGTACTGTGAAGCGATATAAAGTCTTAAGTGCTAATGCCACTGCTGCCACTCCCATTCTCATACAATTTTCAGAGACTGGGGGCTGTACATCCCTTTTGTACGACTTCTGAAGGGTACAGAAGCTGTGTGAGAGCACATCACATTCCAATCGCAGCCTCTGAAGCCTCTAAAATTCTGGTATTCGGGTGTTGATGAAGCCAAAAGATCATGATGTGTCACTTTTGACACACAAGTAGATTAACCATCACTGACATGGGTGTAGGACAACTCGGCATGGCCAGCTCACCACTGCCAAGTTGTCTTTGCCAACTCACTGCCAGCAAGTTGCCATAGGACAACTAAACAGGGCGAACTCACTGCGGGGACACCTTGCTGCAGGTGGACAGAGGAAGAGCCAGGTTGGCAGGTGAGCAGAGCAGCAGTGGCAACAGGGGGCTTCCCATTTTCACACTGCTGCTGCCACCACACTGACCTCCAGGCCGAAGAGGCTGGGGACAGTGGCGACAGCAGTGTGTGTGTGAAAATGGGATGCCCTGGGCTGCCACTGCCTCCCCGCCACCTATCCTGCCCATCACTGCAACCACCATCCCTTGGTCCAAAGTGCAACAGCACAGCTGGTGGTGTGTGTGAAAATGGGAAACCCCTGGCCATTGCTTTGTGCTCTGCCCACCCGCTTGCTCACCCACCAACCTGGCTCTCCCTCCATCCCCCAGCAGCAAGTTGCCCCTGTGGTGAGTTGGCCATGTGGAGTTGTCCTGTGGCAACTTGGTGACCATGAGTTGGCAAACACAACCTGGCAGTGGTGAGCTCCCTGTGCTGAGTTGTCCTAGACCCATTTCAGTGATGGCTAATCTACAACATGTACTCTTCCTCCAGTTGACAAGAGCGAGGTGGCCTTGTGCAACTCTCCTTTGGTGATGGTGGCAGTGAGTTGGATGAGATGACTTGGTGGTGGTCAGATGACCTCTCCGAGTGGCCCTCACCAAGTTGTCCCATTTCACACTGAAACAGAGTAACTTGCTGCATGTTTAAAGTGAGGCAGAGATAATTGGAAATTGAGGAAATGAAGCCTGTGCAGAGAGGGTCATTGTATATAATATATTATGCGAATTCACTGAGCTCTGGTGATGCCTTCATGTAAAAAAACCTTCAGCATTACCTGGGTTGAATAGACAAATGTAGGATTTCAACTAATCAAAAGCATGTTTTCTTGTGAGCAGAAGATGATTTCATTTTATTTTGTCACTTAGAGTGAAGGTGCCTGTGTGCAGGAATATAACAATGCGGACAGTAAAGTTTGGCAGCCTGTCCTTACCTCTCACTTATTTTGGTATTATCATTATGAAGATCCTGGTCCTTAATAGTTTCTTATTTGCATGCACTGACATTTGCTGCACTTCAGGGTGAGCCTGGGAGTCTTCCATGTTTGCTTTTTCTGTAGATGAGTGAAAAATAAAATGCGGGAGAGAAAGTTACATTTTTTCCTCTATAAGATCTGTTTTAGAGAAAAAACCAATTATTTCCTCTGATATATGTTTTAATGTATTTATAAAAAATGTATTTAGCCAAATTATTAATTTCCTTTTGGGTTCATCAGGATGAATGGTTGAATTTTTTTTAAAAAAATAATTGAATCTGTGCTGAAGACTTTATATGCCAAGGAGTGAAAATGTAGTGGTAAGATTAGTGTGAAGGCAACATCTACAATATCTGTGGAAAGAAGACAATCTGCATGTAAGAAAAGACAAGGGAGCAATAACTCATGGAGCAAACCAAGCGGGATTCTTCACTCTAATCTACATCATCAGTGAAGTGCATGGAACTCATAACTGCAGAATGGGGAAAAAAGACCAGTTATAGGACTTGAACCAGCAGATATAGAAAGTTGAATTTAAATTGTCCTCATGGGCTCATTGCACAGCTTTGAACATATAGTACAGGTAATCCTGAAATTACAACCATTCATTTAGTGACAGTTTGAAGTTACAGTGGCATGGGAAAAAGTGACCTTTGCATCATCCCCATGGTTATGTGATCAAAAAATTAGGACCTTTGGAATGTGTTTATAGTGGTTGCAGTGTCCCAGGATTATCTGATTACCTTTGGCAACCTTTTAATGAGCAAAGTCAATGGGGAAGCCAGATTCTCTTAATAACTTACGGCAAGAAAGGCTGTAAAATGGGGCAAAGCTCACTTAACTGCCTGGCTTAGCAACATAAATGTTGGGCTCATTGTGGTCATAATTTGGGGATTACCTCTATAATCTCAGAAAGTCAAAACTAGTAAGGTTACTTTACTTACTGCAGATTTTTCAATTGGAGACTGACATCAATCAGTTTTGAGCCTCATAATAAAATTGCCAGGGTCCGACCTGGGGGAGTAGAAATTCCTCACTACAATCAACATCAGTAACCATAGTTATTTCTTTTTGGTAATTAAAAAAAAGTAACCATAGTTATTTCTATTCTTGATTTATTTTGCTTCATTCAGCAAAATTGTCTTCCATTCCCTGAGACATGATAGTTACTGAAAAAAATCACATACATGCAAGTGTTGTGTGTACAATTGGCTAATCTCCATTTATGTATGCAGTATATATAAATGCAGACCACATATTAGACTTCTGTTTTTTGGGGGCTCCTGATTTGCTGTATTTCTTGTCCCAAAATGTTTGGATACATTTCTTTTTCTATCCATCACGTACAGTCTCAGAGGCAATATCAATGAGTAATCCTCAAAAGGCAAAAAGAAATGTGCAAGTATGAAAAAATAAGATTTATAATAAATGATTAGAAAGTACCATTTCTACATATGTGCATCATAATTAACACTTGTGATTGGATTTGCATATAAAACTGCATTCTGTCATTTTAAAGTTTACTATTTCAGTCTTACTTAACTGCCTTTGGCAGTAAGAAAGAATGAAACTTGTCCTTGACTTTCTACTATTATTTAATATATTTTAGCATTCTGTGCTTTTCTGCTCATATTTGTTTTCTGCTTTCCTTGTATTTTTCCTTCTACTAGGCTTCTTCTGCTCCAGGATCCTCCATCTCATTATGTGTGCTCCTTCCTCCATCTCATCCACTTTTTGAGTCCCAGAGTCCTCCCTATAGTTCCTATTTCCCTTCTTTTCTTCCTCCATTTCCCTTCTCTCTCCTTTCCATCTCCCCATCTGTCTCCCCTCCAATGATAATTCTCCCCTCAGTCTTACTTCCTCCATCTGTTCCATCTCATTTCTTTCATTTGCTTCCTCCATTTCCCCCTTACCTCCATTCACCTTCTATTTTTTTCCCTTCACCTTTCCTACAGCTGTCTCCCACAGAACTGGTCAGTTCTCCAAATGCTTTGTCATCTCTCCCAAAAACTGTAGGTCCCCCTACCTCAACTCCTGCCCTTCAATCATCTGCTTCTTCAGCCATGGATATCCCTTCGGCCTCACAAAAACCTCCAGATTCCAAACCAAAATATAGTTGTGACTTCAGTGCTTATCATTCCCATAACCCTTTCTTCCTCCCTGTACTTCCGCCTATCCAGTCTCAGAGGAGGTATCAAGCCCGGCAGAAGAATAGTGACAGTGTTAAATATCCCTGAAGACAGAAGATGCTTTGGGTTTCTTCAGTGCTCTGGCTCATAAATAAAAGCCAGTTTTCTACGGTAGACCAGATTCAAATGTTTATGGTTGTGATGCTTCCTAAATGTTCATTGAAAATGACTGATGACTTAAGAGAGACTCAGGATTCACTGCTAATTGTATTTTAAGCACCATGGAGTGGGGAAAAAAGAACCAGGAGATTGAATAATTATGGGTTTTATGTATTGTCTGGCCACATAATATTGTTATTTCCCTTAATGTTTGTAAGGCTGTGTGAACTCTGAAGCAAGAATATATGCTATATTTTTTGTTTAGTTGGATATAGTTCTTGTAAATCTATATAAGGCGTAACATAAAAATCTTACCTGGGATATCCAGCTGTATGTGAAATTTCATCACTGTCAATAGATTTGGCTTCAAGGTCATTTATAATGTAAGTATCCTGTGTAATAGGCAAAAACAATTGTGAGGTTGCCTCATTTTTGTAGTGGAGAATTCTAGCCCATCTCTAGAAGTGCAATTTGCAAGGCTCCTTAGTTGAAATATGTCTTACAAATGAACTTAGAACAAATAAAAAATCATTTGAAATATGGCCTACATCTCATTCTAAAACTAAACCATCATTCCCCAACTTACGTGTTACATTTAAATGTATTTTAAAAGCTTGCTTAGTCAAGGTAACTTTTTTTCCCCAGAAAAAGAAGTTAAGCTTTACCTTATTAGTATCAGAACTATGGCATATATGAAGGGAATGATTAAATATTTCCTTCACATTTTTTTATCTGCTGAAAATATCTCTAAATAAACACTTAAATTTTGTTTTTCTTTGAAACCATCATTTTCTGTAGTGTGGCAGACAGGATGGAGAGGAAATAGTTAACCTCCCTCCCTTTTGGTCCCATACACAAGAATAGAATAGAATTCTTTATTGGCCATGTGTGATTGGACACAAGCTCCTTTTTTAGGAGGGGAACGGTCTAGTGATTAAAATAAAGCCCTCTAAAAATATGCTTTGTGGAAAGTGTAATTTGGTCCTTTCTGTCTCAAATAACTAAAATTTCTTCTAAAAGAGTCCATTAATTTATCGGTAAAGGGCAATTGCTCTCTGAAAATGTCAACCTCGGTAATGCTGAAAAGGTGGGGCTTCATTTAATACAGTTTGTGTAGTAACTGAAATACTTGGTTTTTGTATTGGCTGAATGAATCCCCTTTCCTATCAAATGGATAAAAAATATCCTGATTCAGTGTTGTTGATTCACACTGCTGACAAAAATAAACTCATTTTATTGTATGTTATGAAAAGATGTTTCATAAGATGTTATGAAAATTGGGACTATATAAGATAATTTGTGTAAGATATTTATATTAGATGTTATTTAAGCTATCAAACAGAAAATATTAATTCTCTACTCTGAAGTAATAATATGTGATGACCACAGGTTCACAAGTCCTCTTTCTGCTCTCTCAGGGAGGTGCATTTTTAGAAAGTTATAGTCCGTCGTCTTATGATCCTTTCTTCCAGAGGACTACTCCAGACTTGTGGAAGGTGAGAGAGGCTGTGCATTCCCGTTTTCCTGATGAGGTCTTGTTGACTTCTTTTTCTTAGCCTTCTGTACTGGACTTGTGAAGGACAGGCTTGGGTTAGAGCAGTGTTTCTCAACCTTGGCAACTTGAAGATGTCCGGACTTCAACTCCTAGAATTCCCCAGCCAGCGAATGCTGGCTGGGGAATTCTGGGAGTTGAAGTCCGGACATCTTCAAGTTGCCAAGGTTGAGAAACACTGGGTTAGAGATTTTAAAAGAAGGGGTAGAAAATACATCACAGGTGAATGGGTAGTTCTGGGATCGGCCTCTTAGGTACCAAAATTTAAAGAAGGACACATCATTGCAAAGCTGGCCTTGCGTTTCCTGTGAAGATTCTCACCTTTCCCATGTTTGGAGCATATGCAGTTCTTGTAGTTCCCAGTTTCTGGCTGCTTAAATAGAATGGACTTGTAATTTCTAAGAGCATAGGAGGAAAGAACCATGAAGACAAAGGCAGGATTTTACACATTTGAAATGTTTATTGTTTGTAACTGCTGGAGTATAATTTACATGGTTTTACAAAACAATTAGAGAATAACACAGTTTCATCTTGTTTGCCTCTCTTTGTGTAAGTTTTTTAAACAATGGTGAAGAGAGAGTGATAAAATATTCAAGGTTTCCTAGAGTAAGAATATATGCACAAGTTCTTCATAGAATGATTAGCCTAATGCTCATGTCATACATAAAAGATGCATATAATCCTATATTATAGATTAGGGAATGAAATTAGAAAATTTCTGAAGCTGAAGATGGAGCAGGAAATCAAGAGGTTTTATCCAGTACCTGACTCAGCTGCATTGGCCAGAAACCAGAATCTTTTTCAGGAAGCCTATTATTTGGCAATGCAGAAGACAAAAGAAGGGGCCAACTTTACCTTCAACCTTAATCTTTACTTGGCAGTTGGATCTAGCTAAAAAGAATCTAAAGTTGAATTTTGGAGGAATTGGCTAGGCCCAAGAATAGGAGGACAAGTTCAGTATCTATACTTTAACACCAGTTGTGAACCAAGTATGTTTGGTATCTTCTTGCAGGGTGACATGATTGAACTTTTTATTTCAAGGTTCAGTGTTCAGGCTTCTAAATGCTCCTTGATGCATATGGCAACTGAACTACAAGTAATCCTCAATTTACAAACAGTTTATTTAGTGACCATTCAAAGTTACAATGGCACTGAAAAAAATCGGCTTATGACCACCTTTTACACTTATGACCACTACATTATTTCCATGGTCATGTTATCAAAATTCAGACACTTGGCAACTGACTCATATTTATGATAGTTGCAGTGTTCCAGGGTCATCTGATCACCATTTGAGACCCTCTGACAAGCAAAGTCAATGAGGAAGCCAGATTTACTTTAGTCATGTTACTAACTTAACAATTGTAGTGATTCACTTAACTATGGCAAGAAAGATTGTAAAGATTGTAAAATAGGGCAGAACCCACTTAACTGCCTTGGTAACAGAAATTTTGGGCTCAGTTGTGGTCATAAGTCAAGGACTATCTGTTTAGGTCTGACTAATTTGATGTCATGAAGTATTGAAATATGAATAGTAGCTGTTTTTTTCTCCTAGGCATCAATTCCTCCTTTACATGACCCCTTGTTAAAGGAAATAGAAGGAAGAAACATTGAAGCCAGCATTATGAAGCAGTGTGAAACAGGTTTTGTAATATTTCTGTTTGCTTCTGATAATCTTGAGGTTTAATGTCTGAGACTTTAGAGATCCTAGACCAGATTATTGAATTCTTCTGTCTTTCACTTTTGTGTTAATCTTAAAAATAGTATGACCAATTTGAAGATACTGGAAATTGTTTCTATAGTTGATATATTCATCAAATGGTATGAGTGTAACTTGGGGGTGGGGTGGGGAGATTGGATTTGTCTCAATATTGTACAGGGTTTTGTTCATCAGAAAGTTTGCCTAATGAGGTGGAAAAAACCTTTCTTTTATATGCCTTGTACCTTTCCACAGGAAAATTACATTCCTGTAAAGATATTCATGAACTACATAAGACTGAGTTACCACCGCTTCCTTTGGGTCGGCATCTTATGAACCCCATAGAGTGGCTGAAAGTCCCATTGCATTATATGGAAAGTGATGTCCGTCGAAAATGCCGGTAAAGTTTGACAAACTTTTATATTTTAAAATTCATTTTCTGTTGAATAGCAATCATATATAAAAGTTGATTATGAAGCTCTGTTTTCATTGGCAGAGGCACCGCAGGCTGGTCTTTTGCTGTTTCCAGGACAGCCCCACAGGCCACATCTAAGCAGCACCCATGGGCCAGATCTGACCTGTGGACCTTGAATTTGATACCCCTGAAATAATAGAACCTCTTCTTGTGATGAGGTGCAGTTCTTGTTCTTCCGAATGTTGCTTCCAGTTTCACTTTGTCAGAACCGAATATAGTTCTCTGTGATAGCCTGTATAACCACCTGTGTCTGCTGCTAGCCATGAAGCTATCAAGATGACATTTGCTCTTTTATACTTGTACTTCACCATTCAAGGTGAAAAGAGTGTATTGATTGTTGACATGCATATTTTACTTCTCTATGTCTTCCTCACCCCATGGATGAATGAGTATATATTTTAAGGGGAGGAGTCTTGGGAGTCAAATGCCTGCTTGGTTCCTTCTAGGAATATATGACATATGTCCCATTTTGTTTTAAATTACATGTGTCATTTAAAACAAAAACACTAACAAAAGAATGCCCATTTCATCAGTCCCTCTAGTGTAGATGCTATTTCCTGTTTGGAAATGAGTAATCATTTGAAAATACATGTATTATAAGATAGCTGAAGATTATTATAAAAACACTTCGTTATATTTGGCCTTTGGTGAATTTAACAGAATAACAAAGTTGGAAGGGACCCTGGGGGGATTTTAATCTCA